TGTAAGGATCTTTCATCAAAGCCACTTACAGTCGAAGTTGGTGATATTTAAAATAGGAAACATGTTCGGATGAGATCTGAACAATGAAAGCAGTACGTGAACAGCCTTGTCTTGATACTGAGATAACAAATAAAATGAGTACACTTACAGACCTTCATTCATCACATTCAAATAGGAAAGCTCAAATGAGTAATTAAAGGCTAATATATAACGTGATTTTACTAAAACACAGTGAAATGTGCTGAAAGGTAAATATACAATGACACATAATACTACACCTAAATCCTCAACTCACACGTGACTACAGTTTATTGATAGGGGGATTGCGACTTGTTCATTCAGTTCAATGTAAATACCTTCACTTCATGTGACATACACACGTACATACGACCACGCCCACCAACACACACTCCACGTGGAAACTGGACACCATCCTGTGATGTCAGTATTTTTCTAACAAACTGTCCTGACTCAGTCAGATGTAGGACTTTGTGTAGATTGAGGTCTGTCACCAGGATGTCGCCTGTGCTGGTTCTTGTGATACCACGTGGATGCTCCATCTCTGTGTCTCCTGTAGGGCTGTAGGTGAACACCTCATCTCCCTCGGGAGTCAGACACACGACACACTTGGATCCACCGTCACACACCAAGACGTTTCCTGTCCTCGTGGTACAGAGGAAGTAGGGATTCTCCAAGATGTATCTACTAGGTTGGCCTGGACAAATTGACCTCAGCACGTGTCCCGTCATATCCAGGATATCAACACAGGGAGGGGAGCAGGAACTTGCTGCTAGTGTTGATGGTGTCAGAGACGTTATACCCATGTACTGTTTGCTGGTTGTGATGGTTGACAGCAGCACCAGGTCAGGGTTGACTTGTACTGTTACAATCTGACTGGAACCTTGCACAGTGACAGCCACCTGGTTGTCCTTCAACGTTGTTATACCCCACGGAGCACCACCCAGACAGAGCCTGCTGTGACCTGGATGCTGGTTCCTGGTGTAGAAGGACTTCACACTGTTGTTGTTGTTGTCTGTGACTATCACTGTGTCTGTATCATTCACCAGTAACACCGTCACGTCAATGAGGTTTGGTCCACGTTCATCTCCTTCTACTCTGACTTTAATGGTGTCCTGTAACACAGGGGCAACATTCAGGTCCAGAACACCCTCATCTAGCTGTAGATCGTCCAGTGCTCCATTCGGCTGATCACTATCCTGTCTGAACATTATGCTGGCTATTCTTCCCTTCGCCTTCAGTTCTGTGTCTCCGACAGCCTCCACATCACCAGCCTCACATCCCTGATAGTCGGTCGTATCTAAAATAAGAAGGTAACTTTGATCCAGAGTATCAACATGGAGGAATGACACTACATACTGGTGCAGTACCTTTACTGTCATGAAGCGTACATGTGTAATCCAGAAGTTGAACAAATTGTAATTTGCATGTGGTTCTCCAGAATCAGGACACATTTCAGTTGAAATATTATGTAACATGAAAGTAGATTACAAACATTGAATGTAAACAAAACTAGTGTTGGGGATATTTGGTTGACGCAATCATAGTGGTATAACCGATACTGTTGACAATGATGTATCTACACTGGAAAATCATTTATCTTTTCAAAGTAACAGCGATCAGTGGAGACATGCAGATATTGTTAAAATTGTTGTGAGTGTGTTTGGGTTTTTTTTAACCATGAACCCAACTTCCCTGTGAGAGTTACCTCCCTAATCCTGATATGTTTACTCCTGTAGCCTGTTATGTCAATTATTCACACTGTACAAAAGTGCTAATACCTCGCTACAAGGAAACTGTGTCAACGTTTCCCACTGTAGGCCTGTCCTCGATCCTCTCGACAGCCAGAACCGCTTCACGGAAATAGGTCAACGTTTCACCGTAGCGAAATGCTGTATTGGGGAAGTAGTTGGAATAGAGCCAGACCCGTACACTTTTTGTTTCAGTTTTTTTCAAAAGAATTGGTTACTGAAATGGAACAAAATTGTCGTTTTGGTGTTAAGTTACATTTGGAATTTATTTACATATTTTTACTTTTTTATTGGCGGAAGACCTTATTGTGTTTGGCAATACTTTCAACAACAATTTCAACAATATATTACTGAGGTCGAATGCTTGAATAATATTGTAATTCAGGCAAGAAAGGTGGTTATGGTCCTGTTAGTTAGTATAAATTCCTTGAATCCATACTCACCTCACCTTGACTTCAAATGTTTAGATACAAAGATAACACCAATACTTTTATACAGGGCTGAAATTTGGGGTTTAGTGACATTGAACCGAGTCAGGCAGACTATTCAATCGCTCGCTGTTTTGAAATGTGTCAAATATTGTCTCTTTATAATATGCAGGAATCTCGTTTACCCCCAAAAATGTTACAATATGTTGCGGTTGTATATGGAATACTTCAAGGGACATTGTCGCGTTGTCGCATTTTCGCATTGTCGCCCTTGCAAAAACCAGCAAAAAGTGTCAAAATTAGCCAAAGCAAGACATTGCGACAACGGGCCATTTTGGCCATTTGTGGCATTGTCGCAATGTCGCATTGTTATATGTCCAAAAGGCTTATGTGACGTACTGCAATCGGTCTTTGTACGGCGTGCGTCATCCGTCATGCGAAGTCTATGTAAATGAAAATATTTTTACATTAAGAGAAATTTTTACATTAAGGATTGTAACACGGCCATTGTATTTCCGGTGTACCCAAAATGCAAATTTTAGCCACAACCCGAGCTAACTGTCCTTAAAAACGTAACACTCAAGACTGGCTGTAGTTGTGGCACTTATTTACTGTCCCGTTTTAAAACTAAGGAAGGTATTTTCTATCCTCCCATTCACCGCCTGGATCATCGAAAAATATCCCGTTTCGTAAAAACAACAACAACATTATCTCAGTTGTATGCAGATCTTATGAAACATAAACTAACATTCTGCTTCACACTTAGGCCCGATTGTATTTGTGTGCGTGCATGCATGCGTGCGTGCCTGAATGTGTGTGCGTGCGTGCGTGCGTGCGTGCGTCCGTGTGAATGTGTATTTCTCATCTCTCGGCGGTCCTACAGGAGACATACACAGGTATTTTATAGCTCCCAATTCTCCCGTCTGTCTATACCCGGGATCTGTGGCCTGTCAGTGAGGAGATAGTGAATAGTGATTTTCAACTCGAGGCCACCCGCTGGCTTTACAACATGAAGGGTGTGCATTGTATCGATCACAGGACATAGTTATGGGGTGACACCAACTCATTACCATATCGAAAGTACATTATTACAGTTCACATACTACCATATCAGGTATGAAATAATACAGTTATGTAGAAGTATTTTCCCATATTGGTTACTGAAGCATTTGTCAGGGATCATGTCAGTAATAACTGTAACAGACACACGTGATATATACATATACATATTTCGGTATCAGTCTCAGTATTGAAGTGAAGTATCCGATCGAAGGCAATAGTGAAAGTAGATCTTTGAAATATTCCCATTAGCCTATATGTTATATTTACTTAGGTGCCCGGTCATGAGAATCTGCCTGGAGATGACTGTATAGTTAGATGAACCCTTGTGGTGTTACCAGTACACAGTAGGACAGGTATGTAGCGTTATAACTGAAGTAGACGCAAGCCTTGTGACAACACACACTTATCTCGTGTTGAGGTTGGTTGGTTGGTTTCTTGATTAACGCCGCACTCAGCAATATTCCAGCTATATGACCAGACAATCCAGTGATTAATATCATGAGCATCGATCCACGCAGTTGGGACCGACGACATGTATCAACCAAGTCAGCGAGCCTGACCACCCGATCCCGTTAGTCGCATTTTACGACAAGCATAGTCGCCTTTTACGGCAAGCATGGGTTGCTGAAGACCTTTTCTAACCCAGAATCTTCACGGGTCACCTTGTGTTGAGGGAAATTGAGCAGCAGGAAGTGCTTCATTCATGGTCAGCTCGTGTCATTCCGGGACAAGCTTCTCACAGTTTACAGAAAGGGGCGAGTAGTGACGAATGAATGTGTGTAACAAGGAATTTGGATTCGACCACAAGTGGGATTGTGTTTACCTGAAGTTTCTGAAAATATGGCACAATGTAGCAGCGCAATGAATCACAACGACCTATTAACCCAAAGAGGGGGCACGGGTGGCCCAGTTGTCTAAGGCGCCAGAAACCTATGATTATAGGTTCGAATCATGGCTCTCCCCAATTATGTTTCTAGGTTTGTCAGCACCATACCCGTGCTCGTGGGTTTCACAAAAGTGGTAAACGTTAGGTTAGGGTTAGGGTTGAAAAAAGTATTAGTGTTGGTTGATAATGCATTAGTGCAGGTTGCTAATGCATTAGTGTGGTTTGCTAATGCATTAGTGTTGGACGTTAATGCATTATATAACTAAGTGGTTCAAGTCCATACATGTACCGGTTATAACATGTTATAAATCAATAGTTTTAATATAAACATTTCATGTTCTATCATTTTGCATTTTGTTTCAATAATAACTGAAAACATTACATTAGATAATGATCAAATATATATTTCTTTTATTTGAAAAAAAAAATAGAACTGTGTCATATGTCCATACCCCACACAAATCTATATACCTGTGATAACATCTATCGATCCCAGTCTTTCACTGTGACCAACTTTCATTATCAACGTTCACCGACCATTCCATCCTATGAACAATGACGAGTCCCTGTACAAGTGTTCAATGTTTGAATTTTCACGCCCCTTTCACATTTGTTTCGAGGGGTAATTGACACTGGTAGACGTGTAAATTATTCTCACAATCTCAACCGAACGTAACTCCATTCCGACCTGGGTTAGAGTAGATTCCCAGCACTGGATGTGACTAAACTGACCAGTTTCACACAGTGTGAGATTATTTATGAAAAACAGTCGACCTTTACAGTTTGAGGAACTAATGTATGTTCCAGCATAATGCTGCATATCTCTGTCTCCCTGTAGTGTAACACATAACTTACCCTGTGTCCCGACACGCCCTCTCCACCCGCGACAGTTTGACGTTGTGACGCAATGAGAGCTGGGTCAGGTTTGCTGATAAGCACGATGACAGTTTAAAATAAATCAAATCAGGGTCACCCCTTGGTCATGTGACAGTCATTTGGTGGTCGAGGTTATATCGTACAGAGACGACCCTAGTGTTGGAATAAGTGTTCCGCGGACCTATCCAGCTGAGCAGATACCCTGTCCCCATCTTATGCTTCCCAAAGCAACGTTTTGGGAATCATCTATAAATTTGATAAATAGTTGAAGAAAGATGCATGATGTGTGTCGGTGCTATTCCCACCTACACTAGTACCCACACACGGACTATTGATTACACCATGGCGACATTACAGACCACTGTTGTCAGATCCCAGACAGTGACATCAATGTGATAAAACAATCCCATAAACTTGTTATCACAATACCATAAACATGCAATCGAGGTCACCTGTCAGGAAGTACTGTTAGTTGACTTACTGAGATCCCAGCAAACAGGTCTAGCGTCGTTCCTACATATACTGAACCGCAAAACAAACGTCACCCACAGTAAGATTGCATGAAAAGTTGTCATTTAAATATCTGGGTGATTTTTGTCAAAGTTTCTAAAGTTTAACATTACCTTTCCAAGAAAAATGAAATTTGATGATAAAAAAAAAAGCGGTTGACAATAAGACAGATCGCCCAAACGCATCACGGCAACGGCCATTGTAACCCGATGCACATGAGTGGAAACTGAAATGCACATGCGTTCACCAATTTCTTGCCCTATAAGAATCCACTCACCTGGTATAACAATCATTCGTTATTGAATTGCTACCACATGCCAAGATTGACAAGAAAAAATCGACAAAAAGCTCTTGGACGATTGCAAGCTGGACAAACTGCCCGGCAAGTAGCCACTACATTTCAAGTCCACGTAAGGACCATATACCGACAACGATGACCGACCACGTAGTGGAAGACCAAGGGTCACCACCCGACGTCAGGATCGTCAGATTGTGCGACAGCATCTTCAAGATCGCTTTGTAACTGCTGCGGAAACTGCTCGACAAACCATGGGGACACACCAGCAACACATTAATGCAGACACCGTGCGTCGACGATTGACGAGCTGACACCTCCACTGTCACAGGCCACACAGAGGACCCATTCTGACACTACGTCATCGCCGGGACCGTCTTCAGTGGGCAACACAGCATCAGCATTGGCGCCACAAGCAGTGGAGAAGAGATTCAAAGACGGCTGAATGACGTCCGACCAAGGCCGACAACTGCAGCTGAACTGCGTCAGGCGTTCCTCAGAGTGTGGGCTGAAGTGCCTATGGCCTTCATCAAGCGCCTCATCCATTCCATGTATCGACGTTGCACGGCAGCCATCAATGCATGTGGCGGACACACGAGACACTGATTCGTGATGCCATTTCCTCAGAGACTAGTGTTGTGTTTCACTTTAAGAACATTTGACACTTCAATTTCAATCTTGATCAGTTTTACCAAGTTTCATCTTTTTAATATCTTTATAAAGATATGTAAAAGGAATATAAAGATATTAAAAAGATATGTAAAAGGAATATAAAGATATTAAAAAGATGAAACTTTGCAGTGACCGACCATTTGATATATATCTGGTTTTGTGGCTGTGGTAGAAGAAAACAAACTAATCATGATACAAAATCCCAGCCCCTCCTATTCCCATGAGTATTAAATGGTCAGTCTCTTCAACTACCCTGGCACGTCCACACATATTCATCACCAAGTCCAGATTTTCTTGGTGTGAAAACGCTTTTTGAAACCAAAGTTGTTTGTACCCATAGGAGATGTTTCGGTAATACGCGTGTGGTCGAATATATTATGGTTGCAGTTTGCCTTAATAATGTCTAGATCATGTGTGTACGTCACTTTTACACCAAGCTCATTCCAAAAATTATAATATATGGATAGCGTGGAATATACCTGCATCTGCCTACGTTACAGAAATGCTTTGAAATAGAGTTTTCTACATGATTGTTAAATAAAGACAAAACGAATTTAAATTCTTAAATTTAATAAAATGTAATGAATGTGGAGTCCTAAATTTCGTTTTCATTTGTTTCCTGCAGATAATCCCTGCAATATATAACAACGCATAATCAGCCATCCGGTACTGCAAGTATATAGAGGTTTTCATGCGTTTATTCCTAATACAGGATATTTACCATCCCGAAATACACAAGCGTGATAACCTCTTTATCATATAATGTCATTATTCAGTTCTGTGCTCGGAATCCCTTTCCATCTCTCACAAACATTACCTATAAACACTGCAAGTTTTCCTGGAATTTGCACATTAATATATGTTACGTCAGAGGGTACGTGATGTGTCAGTCGGACAGTGACAGCAGCGGATATAGTTCCAACAGAAACCTGTTTCTTATACAATGGGGTAACTTCATATATGCAAAACAACAATTGCCTACGCAAATTGTTTTTATTTGCCTTTCGCGGCAATCCATCGGTCTGTCCAAGGGAAGCTACTCTTACCCTAGTCTATTAAACGTCACGGCCACAGTCAGACGTTGTTGAGAGTCGGCCTGTCCTGTCATAACGTTACGAGGTGCAGTCAGATGTACACACAGTGACAAAACGATACAAGGTAAAAATACGAACATATTTCTGCCAAATCCAACTTTTTGAATTTGTGGAAGAGGTTCCAAGCCACAGAAGTCTACAAGCACAGATATGGAAAGTGATCCCCCTTGGCTACTGCCCTCGCAATATTGTTTCGCAATTTATATCTCCAAAGTTGCCAAAACTTGTAAAATGACTAAGCTATGTCACAGTTAGACACTGATTTTCGATATATTGGTCTATTCATTTGATAATGATAGCAATTATCCCAGTTGCTTATCCAGATTCCCGCTGGTTAACTCTGACTTGATCGCCGAATGACAAGGGCGACGCCATGTTTGTTTATAAACAGTAAAAGTAGTCCAAACTTGACCTTTGATGTTTGCATCTCTATCCGCAAATATGACCCCAACCCTTATCGTTTTTATCCCTGGGCTTTATCCTGCCGAGAAACCCACCCACTAAATGATAAAATGTTTTACTTTACACATAGAATTGCTGTATTCATTACCATAAAAAAATCCAAAACTTGTGCTTTTATTGCTTTTAATTTAAATGCGTAAATAGAGGAAGAAACGTATATTCCGGTAGCCACAGTGTTTAGAGTCACTCAAAACGTGCACATCTGTCTGAACGTCAAACCTCCATAAACGCAAATACCTATTAAAGTCAATTCTTATAAATAAACACGCCAACAATAATAACTTCACATACTACTTACTTATCATATTTATAATCATAAACATAGAAATCAAGAGATAGCAATACGACATCAGTGACATATAGTCCTTCACTACAGTAACACAAGCCCTGCACATTCTACTATCAACAAATCAGGAAACAGTCAATTAATGGGTGTGGCCTTTTTGTTTTTCGATTTATGGAAACTTTAATGCAAAATTGGTTGCTTGGTTAACCAATCGAATTCCACGAAATCCACTTGCTATTTCTTTATCATATTGCTTTTTGTTCACATACTTAAAATGGTGCGGTGGGGTAGTCTAATGGTTAAAGATTTTGTTCGACACCCCAAAGACCTGCGTTCGATTCCCTTCATGGGTACAATGTGTGAAGACCATTTCTGGTGTCCCTCGCCATTAAATTGCTGGAATATTGCTAAATGCGGCGTTAGACAATACTCACTCACATGACATACATTACAGAAACTAATCTCAATTACTTCTCCCATCTCCTACTGTGCATTTCCATAAGTATCATGTACCTTTTGAAATCGTGTGTTCTTCAGTCAGGACTCTGACGAGGCAAGTGAGATAACTGACTAAAAGTCCAGTTTCGACCCTTGCCGAACTAGGCTGGAATTTCAGAGTTATATTAGGCTTGACAAACGAGTCAGCATCCTCCAATAAAAACCGCGTAATGAAAAAGACACCCGGTTCGTAAACAACATGGTGACTGCTGTGCAAATGTCGGTCGATTGCAGGATAGGCCGAGCAAATGTATCGCCAACTGGTCGTCGACAGATATTTTTCAAATCTTTTCAAATTTTTTATCAAATTCCTCAAGTGATTTGATGCACCTCACGAGGTAAGACCCGTTTTACTACAATATAGATTTTGATTCGCCTTGACTGGAAGCCGGCCATTTTTTTTAAAAACAACAACAACAACAGCGAATGCAAATAAAATGAGTGGTGGAATCTGATTGGCCATGAGGGACATACAAGGGATATAAAATGTAATAGTTTGTGATTTCCCTACGATCGAGCCGCCACATTTAAGCCTTGTTCGACAAGGGTGGAACCTGGACTTTCATGGGCAGTTAACTCCCTTGCACCAGGAAGATGGTTCGATAAAGGATATGGGTCTTTTAGCTCCACAAGAAATGCAAAATTTTAGAAACCATCAAAACCTTTAGAAGTCAGCTTTCACGTGTGTTAATTTGAATGAGAATTCAATTTGGCATTTTTCGTTTGATGACTTTCATGTTTTGGGCTTATGGCAAAATTTAATGTTTAGGTAAGGCTAAAATGTGTCAAAAAGGCTGATTTTAAATATTTTAAGGAAAATTCTGAACATGAGCAAGTTTTTGACCAAAGCTGATATTTCTAGGAGATGTGGATAAAACTACTTCAAATATATTAATCATTCATATTGGCTCAAGGACTTGCTCCACACTAAGATGCAGTCCTTTCATTCATTTTAGCAATTCGTATCCATGTAATTATGTCAGAAGTGATGAAATAACAAATGTGAGAAGGAAAACAATCTCTTTAAAATCAGATCTTTGCTCTCGCTTCCGCTAAACAAAGATCTGAGGAAATCCCATTATGAGTAACGTCAGAACGACATTTCGCAAATGTTAATGTAATTGAAGAATTGTCTGATTATTCTAATATTTCTAAGTTTGGCGATGTTTGTTGAGACTGAGTATATTCCAGTCAGGAACAAAAAGTCAAACAAAAAAATGATTTTAGTAGCCTAACGAATACCTTTACCCACATCACAATATATTTGCGTACATCCAGCTCTTGCCATGCGTATCGACCACTAAAATATGCTCGTATTCTGTCCTGGAGTGCCCACCGGGCAAGATATTTTTATTGTGTTTGTATAATTAAAGAAAGGGATAATGTAAGCCAGTGTATTTTCCTCGACTACCAAACGTTTGATATAACAGAATGAGGGATAGATTTCTACCCGTTTATAATAATTATCTCATGTCTATACA